AAGGTCAGCTTTGGGCAAGGGGTCCTCCTGGGACCTGCCCTTCCCCTTCCGTCCCTTCCCTGTCCCATCCACGGATGGAGATTTAGCAGGAAAGGCAGCTGCTTTGATCTGCAAGGCCAACTTCGGAGACATGAGTGGGTTGATGCACACGCTTTTCCGGCTCTGCTTGCTCTCTAGGGACGGGTGGTCCCCCAGGCTATCACTCTTCTTCTCCACCTTCACCATGCGGTGCTGGGCTCGCAGCTTGCCCCGCAGGTTGGAGTACTTGCGCAGGATCCTGGTGCTGGCCTGCGTGGGCAAGCTGGGGGCAGGCTGGATGGTTTTCTCTTCGCCCAGGTCCTCACTGCCAGTGTTGGTGGGAGACATCTGGCTGGGAGTGGTGGCTTCTTCAGCCTCTGCTTTATCAGCATTCTCCCGAATTTTGGCCCAAAGCTTTTGGTTCTTCAGGTTATTCCGAGCCGGGGTAGTGGCAGCGAACTTCTTGAGGTGTTTTTTCAAACGTTCGGCTTGCAGTGAGCTGGGATACAGGCTGGAGGAGGAGTATTTCTGCATGGGGACTTTAATGGGGGGGATCTCCCCCGGGAGACGGGTGTTGAGTTTCTTCACAATCACGAGAGACCTGGTTTCAGTCGTCTCCAGAAACCACTGGCAGATGTCGGACAGCTTAAAGGCCTTCATAAACAGCATCTGGACAGGAGAAAGCTTCTGCACTTCCAGTGACCCTCTACTTTTCCGTGTCCTTTTCTTGCTTTTCCAAATCTCTTTCAGTTTGTCAGATTTGTTCTTTACCTTGGGGGTTGGCTGTACCTCCTTCTCCAGCTGAATCCAGCCCTTCTGAACTTTCATGTACTGGGTGTTGAACTCGGCAATAAGCTCCTGGTTCTCCTCTTCAGCACACCACTCCATGAACTTTGGTTTGCTGTCAGCCAAGTCAACGTCCTCCAATGCCAGGGAGTCGTCATTCCCTGAACTGCATTCATCCCTCAGTTTGGGGATCGCTTGCATAGACTCCTTCCCTGGTGTGCTTTTTTTTGCGGTGTCTACAGGTGTGGGTGCATGTCTTAAATTATAAAACTGCAGAGCAACCTTTTTATGCTTTACAGCCTTTGCTGGAAGATGCTTGCTTCCACCTCTGCTGCTAGGACATGGAGGCGAATTGGCCACCAGCTTGTAGTTCTCCAGCTTACCCGTGTCCATGGCACTGTCGGAGCTCTGCTGGTCCTCTGCGCTGGCATCACCTGGTTTCACATCCACTTGCTTGGCATCATTTGGAGGCGTGCTGCTCTCTGGAGGGAGGAGAATGCTTCGCTTCTCAGAATCAGCCTGGATGCTAATTTCCAGCATCTCACCCGGTTGACTTTGGCTGCTGTTAGCAGGGGGCTCGTCTTTAGAGGAATCTTTTCCCTCTGCTGCAGTCTCTTTCACTAAGATGCTTTTATAGATTTGTCTGGTAGTGACACCATTCTCCTCACCTGGCTGCCACTCAGCGATGTTCTCTGGAGCCTGGCTAGTGCCTGGCCCCTCGCTGGTTTTGAGCAGTGCGTTGGGGAAGCTGTCGTTTGGGAAGTGCACGGATGCTGCCCCATCCACGTGCACTTCTCTCTTGAACCGCTTAGCGCCAGGGCTCTTGGAGAGTTTGATCTGAAGGCAAGGAAGCTGCACAGAGCTGGAAGAACTGGCATCCTCAGCACTGCCCTCAGCATGTGCCTGGGATTGCTGGCTTCGGAGATGTCGGTCCGATGCCACAAGCACTCTTCTGCCTTTCTTTCGCTTCTTGTCCAGACTGTCTTTGGAATAGACAGAGTCTTTCCCTGCAGTGTCTGAGCTATCGGGTTCAGGTGGCATTTTCCCCTCAACAGGCTCTTTTTCACCTGCTGGGCTGTTATTCTGCACTGCCCCCCCTTCTGAGATTTCGGGGAGGGCTGTGCTGGCTGGCACAGCCTCCTCTTCCTCAAGGAAGCCATCACCTGCCATTCCTGATAACTTGGCTTCTGGTTCAGCATCAATGCTTTTGTTCACATCCATGCACTGCAAGGTGGCAGGGGACTCCGGGGGGGTCTCCCCATCCACGGTGGCAGGGAGGTCATCAGGAGCCTGCTGGCCTGGAGAGCATGGGGAGGGCTCTGCCGGACACAGCTCACAGGGCTCTGTGTCCCCTGCACCTGGAAGCTGGGCAGGATCCCTGGGACCATGGCCCAGGGGTGCTGTGTCCGCAGTGGTGGAGGGCTGCAAGGGGGACTTTGGCTCCGGGCTGGCAGGGGTGTCCGGATCAGTTTGTACATCGGAGCCTGGACAACCTCCCTCCCCACTGGGTGCTTCTGAGATGGGAAGGGCAGCAAGACTGGCAGCCTGTCCACTGCCACTGACATCCCCAGAGGAGCCCAAGCTGCTGCCAGCCTCCGGGA